TCACTCACTCCAATTATATTTACTTTAAAACCAAAGTTAAGACAGATAGCATCAGGGCATCTTATGATGCACAGTTGATGATCTGGGATTTATAGAATGGTGACTGGCCAATTCCTAAATTTCAAATTTCAACAATAATGTTTTGCTATATAAGATAGAACTAAGAAATATGAACCATACACACTTTTACTTAGGAGATGACCCAGAGATAATCCAAGAGGAGGCCCTTGACAGTGGGCCAAACACAGGGTTCTCGTCTCATCCCTGCTAATAACTAACTGTCTGATCTTGGGCACATCACTCAGCTCTCTGAGGCTCAGTCTCTTTATCTGAATATGGGTCGGATTTTAAGACCTCTTCAGGGCTAAAATATTCTGGACAGTAACTTAAGGAGAGAGTAAGAAAACAAAACCAAAACACACAAACAGAAATGTTATTTGCTCTTACATAAAGTTCAAAAACAAAACATTGAGGTCTACTAGTCAAAAATTGGATTCCAAGATTAAACAACAAATTCTTGAGATTTGTTTTACTAAATACATACTGATTCTCAGAATCTTTGTTTTTAAAAAAACACCAATTTTGTTGTTTGCATAATAGGAGGAGCAGGAATGATTAGCATCATTTGTGGAAAATAGATATTTGGACATTCTTAATAAAATCTCAGGTCAGACATAATTGAAGTAAAACAAACATAAAATAACCTAAAGACAAGTAACTACTACTGAATTTGAAATGGCAGCAAGAGCTAATTATAAGAATTAAAAGTTAAAACCATTTCAAAGCAGTGTTTGACATTACACAGGAACAACAGAGAGAAAACACTATTCACTTGAATGAATGAGTGAATGAAAGAGAACAAGAACATTGAGAACTAATGATTTGGTCAATGACGGGTTTCAATGATCACATACAAGCATCAAATCATTAATCTCCAAAATCTGATACTAATGATGAACAATGACAATTAAATCGTCATCTAATTGAACTCTTATTTTTAAAAAAGAATAGCAGCCAAAATAATTAGTATAGGAATAGGGATATTATTTCAGAAAATAAACTTGGAGAAGGCGATTTCAACAAGAAAATACTACAAAGCATTTCTATTTACAATGTAAAAATTACAAGTTGGCTTACTTCCAAATATTCTATTTTGCTGGGAGTCATACTAGTTGAGCTTTAAAATGACTGATTTATGGATGCTGAAAAGCAATGATCATTACTGTAGATTATAATTTCAGAGCTATAAGATCTAGAAGAATCCTATTTACCAATAGAGATTAGTGTGGTGGCAGTATAGCAAAATGATTTTTGTGCTTTGACCGACCCAATTATTAGACGGGTAACCCTGGGCAAGTTACTTAACTGTAGTTTGTACAAACTACAGTTAAGCTACTACTACTACTACTACTGTAGTTTTCTCCAAACTGTAGTTTGCTCATTAGTAAAACCAGGATAATAAAGTACCTAACTCAGGGGGGATGAGGTTTAAATGAGAGAATATATATAAGAACACTCAAGAACATTTTTAAAAAAATTGTTACCTAAAATACTACAGAGATAACAAATATTTTAAACAACCAGGTACCTTCAGCAACTGTATTTCAAACCATTAAGCCAAAAGAAAGAAAAATGTATTTATCTACATTCATATTATGAAGTTACAAATGTTATTCAGAAAATGGACTATTTAAGAGAGTCACTTTTTCCCTGTTCTAATTAATAAAGCGCAAAGCTAACTCTATTGACACCCACATAATCTGTGTTTTTATAACAATTGGTATGGACCTAGCCCTAGTCTTTTTTCAATTCTGCTTAGCTTAAAGGCCACATAATTACAATATAAGTAGACTAGATTAGCACACTGAGGCCAAAGAACAAAGCAAACTAACAACACACTGAAGATTAAACATAGGTGTTATTAGCTTTAAATAATTGAATAGGCTACTTTGCTAAAAATAGCATACACATTTTTAATCTTGATATATATATCTCTGGGAGAAGTAAAGTTCAAAACTTCAAAAGTAGATTCAGTCAGGATTCCAAAGAAGTTCACTTTATTTTAATTTTGGTAATCTTACCTGAAAAGAGATTTGCCAAGTGCAGTGAGCTATGACTAGCTTACACCACTATACACCTCCGCCCACCAAATTTCTTAATTAGGAACTAATTATATCTTTCTATTATATACCTAGGAGTAGCAAATAAATTGCTGGAACAAAATCACCATCATTCCATATAAATTTATGGGAGAGAGAATGTATATCTGAAAAATGGAGTAGTCATAAAGACAGGGCAATCTTCAAGTATTTGAAAGTATCATGTTAACAAATAAATCATCTTCCCTGAATAAGTTACAAGGAGCAGATTTTAATGCAACATAAAAAGAACTAATTTTTCCAGAATTGAAATGGGCTTCTGTCTTTTCTGGAGAACACTGCCAAATTGAAAGAACCCTAAAAATCCCTGCATCTTTTAATCCAGTGAACGTTAGAAATTTATTCCAAGGAAATGATTAGAAATGTGCTGAAAGATATACGTAAAAGAATGACACAGTTTATAACTACAGAGAAAACTGAAGGCAACCTAGACATTGTCTATCCACGAATAATTTTCAATTAATAATTTAAGACAATGGGAAAATACTTATGGTAAAATATTAGTGAGAAAAAAGGTATACAAAACTACATAATGAATTCAATATCATATTTGCCAAGAAAATATGTGTAAAAATAATTGGAAAGGTAATTATAAAAGTAATTGAAAGTACCTCATAATTTATCAGTTGATTATGTCTATATGTAGTGGTAGTACAGGTGATTTTTGTTTCTAATTTTAGTCCACAGCACATATTAATTTAATCAAATGGTGACTAATCATCCAACAGGAATATTATGAAAGTAATATATGACTCCCAAAGTCCCTTCCAACTTAAAGATTCTACAACTCTAAAAAATCTTTCTGCAACTAATTTAAAAATCAGTAAGTCTCTGCCAAGATCAGAAAATCTAAAGTTAAATTTTCAAAGAACTGACAGCCAAGAATGGCATTAATTTCAGAAGCAATTATCAATATCCTTTGGCTAGTAGCTCTTTTCTTAGATAGAAAAATAGGCAGTGAACCTAAATAAACTGTGACAAACAAAAGAAGTAAGAAAGATGATGGACGGGAGGAAAAGGAGGAGGAGGAAAGAGAAAGAAGGAAGCAGGAAGGAAAAAGAAGAAGAGGAAGAAGAAAATGGAGAAAGTAACAAAGGTCTTCCCCTTATTTTCATCAAAAGGGCCATTGCCTAGATGGATGATACAATCTGTATGAGTGATTTAATGACTACAATCACAAAAGTTACCTAAGATTTTCCTATCTATTAGGACTACAAATGACAGACTTGGGGGACAGGGAGAATAAAAAAGTTCTTTCCTTTTTAAAAAAGAAAATTTAATTACATCAGTTAGATTAATATCAGAATTAAGTGACCATGACAGGTTAATTACAATTTCAATTTTCATCTAAGGAAAGAAAGTAAACCATAACAAAAAGAGCTAATTATAAACCACTGGCCCAGATTCACAAAATGTTAAATATTCTTGCCACATATGTCAAATACTAATTTGTTTTAAGTCAAATAAGACAATTCCATGAAATTATCATAATATCATAGATTAAAATTCTATAATTCAAAATCAAGAAAAAAATACTCCCCTTGTAATGACTAAAGATAGGCATTTGTTACAAAAGAAAACCCACAGAATGTCATATATTTTTTACTAGAGATAAGAATGCATAATAGAAAATAATTAAAATTTTAAACTGTATGTTACTCGAAATATCCTGAGAGATCCTCAAGATGTTTTATTTTACAGTTACTTATATGCAAAATATATATATCATACCATCTTTCTTGCTAGTTATATGACACATAAGATAAAGATAGTTAAAATAAAATACTTATGATAGTTTTCCTATATTTAGAATATCATATGTCTTGGAAAAATATTTTTGGTTATATAGAAAGATCAAGGGATATAACTCTTTATAGAATCTGGTTAAAATATAGTTTATTTATCTTTCCTTTTTTGTTTTTAATAAAAGTACTATAGATAAAAAGAGAAAAAACAAAAATCCTCAAGACTATGATTTTCATCAGTTACTATAAACAAGGAAAGATCTGGTTTCCCAAAATATCATAACTAAAACACAAATTTATTTAAAAGGAAAGAAAGTAAAAGAGAATGAGATTACTGTCCTGGACATTAAATATTTATCTTTATTCTTACATTCTTGATTCATCAGATCAGAAAGATCTAGCAGGAACTAACACCTGAAATGTACTCATGACTTTCTAATTAGCACAAGAAAAATACTCATTAAAAAATTTAAAGATAAACATTATGTTAGAAATGGTTCTAATATGATCAAAGAACACATTATATGCTGTAAAATTGCATAAAGCCTGCTTTTTCCTATTTTCCTATTTATTATTATCTAATCCAGAAACCATTTCTGAGGCAATTTTACTTGACCACCACCCATTTCCTATAGTGACAAATGATTCAATACCCAGTATTATCAATCCTTTTTTAAATGTTGGATTATTTAAAATTTACTACCTGGATGAATGTGCAAAAACATTACATAATTCAACATCTCTGTAACAGCTACAGCACCTGAAAATTAATAGCCAAATTATGAAAAACCTGCTCTCTCCTTAAAAAAACAAAACACCAAAAAACTCCCTTAAATCTCTTCCATTAAAAATGACATTTGAAAAATAAACACCCTTAAGAAAACACTAATTCACAAATGATTTTTACAGGAAATAGCAGTATACAATATTTTGAGCATTTCAAGGCAGCACATTCTTCTGGGTGTTGTAACAGACTCTCCCGATCTGCAATCTTGCTGCAGTCATGAATAAACATATTCCTCTGAAGTTCTAAGTATGTATGGCCATATCAAGGGCATGGAGCCTGCACATCAGATTTGGATTGGATTTACATTACCTCCAACCTTAGGGCCACCTGCTGAACCAGGCTTCCTTGCACTGTTGACAGGATTTCCGGGTGTTTTAGGTGCAGGAACCTTGAAGGTGGAAGCAGCTGATGACGGCCTATTTCCATCCACTGATTCTTCATCATCAAAGCTTTTATCTGCACAAAGCATTAGAAAAATGTATTTAAGAAAACTAAGCTTTGTTCCATTTTCCATTAGACTTAAAAATTAAATAAATTCATATATAAAATCATTCCTTGGTAAGATATATAGCACAAAATAAAGGTCCTTTGAATAAGCATTTATATATTGGCTAACACTATAAGATATATAGCACAAAATAAAAAGGTCCTTTGAATAAGCATTTATATATTGGCTAACACTATAAGATATATAGCACAAAATAAAAAGGTCCTTTGAATAAGCATTTATATATTGGCTAACACTATATAAAATAACCCTCTGTAATTTAAAATCAAAATGCAATATTATCATATTTCCTACCTATCTATATTAAGTCAAAACATAAAACCAAACATATTAGCTCTAAGGATAGTAAAAAGCATTTTCATTTTTTGCTACTCATACAAGCATTTTCTGCCAGCTCCTCCCTTAGTGCATCTTCCAGCACGCCCTGTCTTATTCCTTATACCCATATTCTGCAACTTACAATCACAGATCCGTTTGCAAATCAGTCGCCTCATTCCTCTGAAAGCTCTTAATTTCCCTCACCCTAGGATGTTCCCAATAGTTCACATGGCCAAATACAGTCAATTCAATACTAATCAAAGATTCTATCAAAAATAGACAGAAACAACCACAGAACCATCACTGAGGTTTGTGCCGGCATTTTTCTTTCTCTTCCCTGCTCTAGGTGCTGTAACAGCCAATCAGCTACTAGGTGACATCATCTTATGGCAGCTACTGCCAGATGAAAGGTAAAAATTCTCCATGCATCTAAAAAATTCTGTATGCAGCTACAATTCTTATTCTATATCAAAATTTCAAAGGCATTCGATACTAAAGGTTTATAAATCTATTTTTTTCTCACTTAATTCACATGAAAATTCATATAAATAGAAAATAAGGTTTTATACAATATTCATTCTGCTGGGATGCTTATTACTGCATCAGTAAAGCATGGAATATCACAGTGCTCATTACTGTGGGTAATTAACTCTGTAATCTTATAATTTCCTGTTTATCTAGGCCATAGAAACCAAACTGAATAATTTGTTCTCTTAAATGATTATATAATACTCTATAAGACTCCTTTTAGAATATGAATGATCACACTAGTACCATCTTCCAATATACAAATGAAACACCCTTAACCCTGTCCAAAAAAAATTCACAAGATAAATGCATTTTACTCTTCTGAGAAGATGGTTTTCTCTAGGACCCTGAACAGACAAACCATGACAAACAAGATGGGTGAGGCAAAGAAGCAGCTTTACCACAGGCTTCAGATCAATATGCTAGAATCTTTTCCTTTCAATCTGCTCCCCTTACCTATACAAATAATCACATAGAATGAAATTATACCTATAAAGGGATACTGTCAGTACATCCACTAAGTACATTTTAAAGAAAACACACCAAACAAGATTTAAGACTATTTATTGTGGGTGAAGGGGGGTGAGGGGAGGGGACATATAAGCACCCTAATATAGAGCCACATTCCATTTGAGCAAGTGGTTTTGTTTTTTGTTTTTTTTAAATAACACAACTTGCAGGAAAAAAATATCTTCTAGTTTAAAACAATGTTTTTTAGCATAATACTATTAGGGAGCCAGTCTGGATAAATTAATGGACTTAACACCTATGATTTACATAGACTGCTCTGTTAAAAACACAAATACAATTCCAAATAAACTTTTTTTTTTGTCACCACTATGTAAAAAACGCAGCCAAGAGAAAGATATACAAATCTACAGAAAGTCAGGCACTGAAACACAAAATAGTCAGAAGTTCCCATGGAAACAGTGTTCTGTTCCTACACACGCAAGAACTGAAAAGAGTAAATGTCCCTACCATTTAAAAAAAATTAACTCCTAACATTCTGAAACTACTGGGAAATTAATTTTTAACTTTTTATCAAAATAGAGCAAAGTATCATACAAATCATAAGTATGCAGCTCAATGCATTTTCACAAAATGAACACACCAGTGTAACCAGTATCCAGATCAATAGATTATTTACCAGCATCCTGTCAGCACCCTCAAGACCCTTAAAAATCACTATTTCCTACCAAAACTAACTAGTATTGAATTCTAACAGCATTGTTGGTTTTACCCATTTTTTGAACCTTAAATACAAAAAGTAACCATACAATAAGTACTCTGGTCTCTACCTTTTTTTCACTCAATGTTGGGAGATAATGTTTGGAAGATTCATTTTCATTGCTTATCATTTTCCAGTGTATGAATGTACCCACAATTTATTAATATCCATTGTACTGTTGGTATACATTTGAGCTATTGCCAGTTTGAGGTTATTATAAAACAGTGCTCCTAAGAGGTATGCAAAGTTAAAGGGTTCTAAGGATTTTAGCATTATTGAAGTGGCAAACATAGTAATTTATTTTAGATTATAATAAGTCAAAGATGCATATCTTTGTAATATCCAGTGCAGTGGTCATCAAAATTCATCCCTGATCAGCAGCTAAGCATCACCTGGCAATTTGTTAGAAATGCAAATTTGGGGGCCCTAACCCAAACCTACTGAATCAGAAACTCTACAGATACAGCTCAGTAATCTGAGTATTATAAAAGCCTCCTAGTGATTCTGATGGATGATTAAGTTTAAGAACCATTCCCCTAGGGCAGAGGTTGGTGGACTTTTTTCCATAAAGGGCCATACAGCAAATACTTTAGGCTTCGCAAACCATATACATATGGTCTTTCTGTGCAACCATTCAATTATGACGTAGCACCAAGGCAATAATACATGATATATAAACAAATGGGTGTGGCTGTGTTTCAATAAAATTTTATGTACAAAAACAGGATGACAGCTGGATTTGGTCTGTAAGCAACAGTTTGCCAATCCCTTCTGTTGGGTAACTACTAAAAGAAGAGCAAGTGATAATTTTCACTCACCTTCGCCATGTCATTATGCATCTGGCACCTTCTCAATGAAGCTGACTCTAGATACTAAAATTGCAAACTTCCCAACACTCCAATATAATGATCTACCTCTGCCTCCTTGCTTTATTTATTTCCCTAGTACTTACCATCATATTACTTAATATATATAAACTAACAGAAAAAAAATAAAATAATAAAAAATATTTGATTAACTGAAAAGAGGCAAAAAGATAAAATAAAAAATAAAAATAAAGTAGTAAATATAAAACTAAATATATCAGTAATTACCTTAAATATAAAATGAACTAAATATTCCAAGTAGAAGACCAAGACTGAATTTTTAAAAATAGGATGCTTAAGTAAGATAACTTTACATACAAGGTCACATAAAGATTAAAAGTAAAATGACAGAGAAAGATAGAACAAGGCAAACACCAACTAAAAGAAAGATGTTGTAGCTATGCTAATTGAAAAAAAAAGCAGCTCGAAGAAGCATTGCTAGACATAAAAAGAAACATTTAATAATAGTCAAGTGGTAAATCCAGCAGGAAAAAAACTTGGAACCCTAAATATTTATGCACCCAGTAATACAGCTTCAAATATATAAAACAAAAATTGAAGAACTAGAAGGAAAAATAAACAAATCTACAAACATAGGAGGAAATAAACATTTCCCCACCTACGGTAAGGTTATATCGTTTTTGACCATAAGCTAAAAGAATTCATAAAACTAATTTATCATCATAAACTCTAAAATTAAAATTTGTTTTAAAATTTATATAGAGGTTATAAATATTCTGGGCTTAAAAATTTTTCTTAATAACTACAAAATATCAGAACAAATCTCAATTGTTTTCTTCCCAGCAGCTATCACTTCCTAAAGTAATATACAGTGATTTTTATAAGCAGATTGGAAGCTGGTTAAGGGCAGAACTTGGTCTTGTTCATGCTGTAACCCGATTTCCTAGAACAATCCAGGGATAATTGTCACAGCTGGCTAACTCTTCTCCCTGCTTCTAACCTTCATTTCCTAGAGTTTATTCTCAACACAGCATCCTGAATTGAACAACGTGACACGACATCACTGGTTAAAATCCTCCTATGGCTCCATAAGAAAGACTACCGGGACTCTAAGATCTGAGATATCACGTAGATCTCCCCAACCTCACCTCCTACTTGCTCTTCCTCTTTCTCCAATCCAGCCCCACCAACCACCTTCCTATGACTCATGTCTGGGCCTTCACACTTGTTCCTTCTGCCTCAAATGCTCTTCCCCTCTATATCCACACTTTTCACTCACCATCATCAAGTCATTATGCATCCAACACCTTCTCAATGAAGCTGACTCTGGACACTAAAACTGCAACTTCCCAACAATCTAATACAATGATCTACCCCTGCCTCCTCGCTTTATTTCTCTCCCTAGCACTTACCGTCTGTATGTTTTACTTATTTTGTTTACCTGTCTCCTTCCACTGAAATATATGATCTGTGAAGTTGGGAACTTCTATTTTGCCCACTGTATATCTCCAACAGGTGGAACAATGCCTTGAACGGCACATTTCACAGTGGAGAGAGACTTTTAGTCTCCAGTAAGAGCATTACTAAGTTATTTGAAGCAATACTCCAAGGGCAAGCAGCTATACACTCTGAATTAAATACATATTTTTAAAACTCTTTAAAGCAATAAGTATTTGACAAGATAGTAAGAAATACTAGGATAAAGTCAGTACATTGGAACTTCTATTCTGAAGGCCTTGTGGGGCAAAGAGAACAGAACTCAAAACCCACACAAGATGCAGAGTCTAAACAGGAGATCCTTTCCATTACAAATTGGTATACTAAATGACTACTGACTACACTCTCAAGGCTAAAGTGAACCATAAGTGAGCCCTTATCTTCCTATAGTCTATTCTTTTCAAACTTTTCTCAAAAGAGCGGCAGAGAAGTGAATCAAATGCAGTGCTTCATTAAGATCAACTGCTTAGGTAGCCCAGACACTCAAACCCTTAAACTCTGTGGGCTCACATTTGTAGTACTCCCAAGAAACAGCCAGAGCAAATGCAAA